TGAACCTAAGTTTTCTTTCTTTCCTTTTCTTTTTTTTTTTTCTCTATGTAAGCATGACAGGGAGTAATGAAAATTTCCCGTTTTGATTTAATACAATCCTTTGCATTTAAAATGGGCTTAAAAAGACATTATCCATGCTGGGCGTGGTGGTGCATGCCTTTAATCCCAGCACTTGGGAGGCAGAGGCAGGCAGATCTCTGTGAGTTCAAGGCCAGCCTGGTTTACATAGTGAGTTCCAGGCTAGCTGGGGAGACCCTGTCTCAAAAAGGCCTAAAAAGAAAAAAAGACATTATCCTTGGTTTGTTTAAAATAGACTATTTGTATGTATTTTTGGGGGTGTGTGTCAAAGAGGAGGTTTGAAGCAGAGACTCATGTATTCCAGGCTGGCCTTGAACTGGTTATGTATCAGATGATGACCTGGAACTTCTTTTGTGTGTAGTGTGGGTGAGCATGTGTGTGCAGGTGCTTGTAGAGGCAAGAAGTCTACACTGGATGTCTTCCTTAATGGCTCTCCACCTTCTTTTTTGACAGGGTCTCTCCCTAACCCAGAGCTCATGGATTCTGCTAGGCTGGCTGGTTAGCAAGTCCCACCTCAGCACTGGGATTGCAGGAGATGCCCCCATGCCTGATTTTTTATGTGGGTGCAGGGGTATCTAAACTCAGCTACTCATGCATATAGGGCAAGCACTTTCTCAACTGAGCCAGCTTCCCAGCCCGGTTTTGAGTTTTACTTAAAACAGATAGGATGTTATTTACAGTAAAGGAGAGATACTGGTGGGTTTTCTTATGATTTGCTTGAATTTAGGGAAACTAGATTTAGCTAAAAATCTTCTAGGCCAGCAAATTGCTTGTTTTTCCTTATTAAAGACCGCTTTCTTTTGCACCTTCTCTGAAATTAGCTTAATCCTGGCATTGGTCTGATATAGGTGGATTGCACAGGCCCTCTGGCCCCATCCTCTCCTGGTTGCAGTTTCTTATAGCTGCTGCTCTTCTAATTTTCCTTGCTTCAGAACCTAGTTCAGAGATGGATATCTCTCTTCCTCCCTCCCCTCTCTCCACCCTGCCTCATTTCTAAGGCTTTAGAGTAAAGGAAAATCAGGTTTTCCAAGTCACACTTAACTCTACGAGGGCCACTTTTTTCCTGTTACACATGTTCAGTTTGTAATCTTTTTGCTTCATGCATTTTCACAGTTCTCACCATTGTTTATACATTTGTCTGTGCCTTACCAGTTTATAAATGTAGTGAGGTAACATTCCTTATCTAACATCATTTCTTTCTCTTTTTTAAAAAATTATTTTTTATTTTTTGGTCTTTTGAGACAGGGTCTCCCTGTAGCCCCAGCTGGCCTGCAACTCACTATGAAATCAGCTGGTTTTGAACTCACAGAGCTCCACCTGACCCTCTGCCTCCCGAGTGCTGGGATTAAAGGTGTGTGCCACCACACCTGGCATCTGCCATCATTTCTAAAGACTCTTCCATACCCATGCTACATTTACATAATTGAATGGCTTACTCATGACCTAAGAAGACCTAGGACTCAGGTGAGAGCCTGATTTGAAGTGTGACTGAGTATACTACGAATTCTTAAAGCTAATTCAAGGCTTAAGATTGTTCCGCCCTGTGTTTATTATATAACTGTGCATTTTATTAAATTTAGCTTTTTAACCATTAGCGTTTTTAACCATTAAAAATGCATAGGAAAGTAGTGGAAGGAAATATAACCAATGGTAATCTTAGTTACTTCAATGATTATAAAATAAGCATCGGGAGAGGTAGGCTTGGAAAGGGTACTCATAATCCTCAGTCTTTCCTACATATTATATTAGCTTATATTTATCCTATAAAAATTCATGCTGAAAAGAGATACATAAGAAAATCTAACATGGACAGTCAAAATTCAATGCAAGGTTTGACTTCAGTATTCTAAATTTTTTGATAGGAAAGGCCTCTATTGAAAGTGTGTGGCTTTATGGAAAAACTTATATTGACAAATGAAATGTTTCCATAATTCTCTCAGAGAAACACTTAATCCCATGGGAAACGCCTGTTGCACCCCATCCTATGCTCTTAGGTGCTGTCTCCTATATTTTATATTCTTCCCTAAAGTACATTCATGATCCAACTGCCTGGTTATGTATTCAAAAGTCTCTGTTGGGATAGCAGTAATCTCAACATACCTCATACCCAAGACAGGACCCGATTTGGTGTCCAAATTGTTCCTGTTCTAAATCTCAGCTAAAGTTATCACTATGCATGGTTTCAAAACCCTGGGTCATCTTTTTGAGGCAGCTTGTCTGCTGACTTGTTATGTATCCTGGATGGCCTTGAACTCGGAGGAATCCACCACATCCTTTCCTTCTTTTGTACATCATCACCAAATTCTGTGAGATTTGCAACCAAAATACACTGTGAACCTGATTTCTTGCCATGACCACCCGTCCAAACTCCCACACTCCCTAGATTGACAGTAATTCTTCCTCATCTTATCTCACTACCACCAATTCTCCATCCACCAAAGGAAAGGACAGCAGACCACTCCCTTATTCAAACCCTCCAACGGGGTTGGAGAGATGGCTCGGAGATTAAGAGGACTGGCTGCTCTTGCAGAAGACTGGGGTTTGGTTCCCAGCACCCACATGGCCGTTAACAACCATCCATAACTCCAGTTTCCGGTGATCTGAAGCCTTCTTCTGGCCTCTGTGGGCATTGCACACATGGATGCACTTATATACATGTGGCCAAGACACACATTTAAAAAACAAAAACAGAAACCCAATGGCTTCCCACCAAATGCAGGAGAAAAATCTAAATTTCTTCCTATTCTATGGGTGCATAGCTCTACAAGGATTTCACCAACCTCAAAATTCACCACTTCCTGCTTTCCCACCAACTCACCGGTGCTTTCTCAGCATATAAACTCAGTCCTGCTTCGGAAATTTGGGCTTTCTCTTCATCTAGAATTTTTTTTTTTTTTAATCTTGGTGGTTTTTCATCATTTGGGATTATTCCCCAATGATTCTATAAAATACTTTTCTTCTCAAACACATTATGCCTCATTTCTTCTGGTTTCTGAAATTCTGTTTGTATTTCATTGCTGTCTTGTTAGAATGTAGTAAGCTCAGAAGGTGGTAGCTTTGTTTTGTATCCTGATGTACATCCATTAGTGACCGACACAAGGCCTTCAGCGAACACCTAATGGCTGAAGTCCTAAGTATGTAATCCAAATTCCCAGGCTTGAAACAATTGCCCCAACTCATCCAAACTGTGCAATGGTAAATCTTCCACCCTGCCCCACAACAACCAATTGCCTCCCCTAAAAATCCCTTTTGTCTCCTTGGAACATACCACTTAGAAAGTCTGTTTTCCGGCAGCTGTCATAAGGTGAAAAACCCGCGCCTCTAACACTGGCAGGTCCCTCAGACAAATTTCCCCATGGAAACTTTCTCTTCTCTTCTGCTTAAGTCAGCCCTGTACAGGTGCACATTTTTATCGTGTTTTCTGAGTCAAATGGCATATATTGAGGTAGAAGTGAACAAACCAGTGTGATCCGCCCTATGTGAGCATCCTCAGGAGTTTGCTTCTGAGTCTTAGAATTCTCACAGGCTTAGCCTCTACCCAAAAGCAAGTTTTTTGTTCTTTTATTTGCTATAAAACTAAGGTCCAGGGCTAGTGTAAGTACAAATCAGCGGATCAGTGATGAGTACGCACAGGAAGCTTTGGAGAAGAATGAGCAGTAACCAAACCAAAAAGTTAAATAAAAGTCTGTAAACTCTGGATTTTGTCAAAAAGGTTGGAATTCAAGTTATTACTTTTCATGGTTGTAGCCTTTATAAATCCATGTAAACCTTGTGAAAGAACTTAAGACAGATTGCTTTGTAGAGAATGATTTGGGCTCAATATTTTATCTAAGAAATATAAATTTAATTATGACTGTTAGTTGTATTTAAAGCAAGCTATTTCTTGGGAAAAAATTCTTTTACTGTTCAGTAAGAAAAGAAAATGCTGATAAACTCTCTGTAAAGTGACTGAATTACAGACAAGACTGCAGTGCCAAGACTAAACTTTAGGAGTATACAATAAAATCTGAATGTTACGAGAACACTCCTTAGGTAGTAGCTATAGAATAAGGCAGCTAAACGATGTAAATGTATGCTGTTTAGGCTGGGCATGGTGGCACACACCTTGAGTCCCAGCACTCAGGAAGCAGAAGCAGGCAGATCTCTGTGAGTTCCAGGCCAGCTGGGGCTACAGGGAGACCCTGTCTCAAAAAGACCAAAAAATAAAAATAAAAGTAAATCAGACGGCAATGTTGCGGTTTAAATTACCACCACAAATGTATAAGCATGCGTTTAAATGTAGATATGGACAAGGAGTGATGGACTTGGAGAGAGGAAGGGGAGGAAAACTGTGTGTAGAAAAGAAAAAAGAGAAAGACTGAGAATGGAATGAATCAAAGCATCTTAAGGTATGAAAATGTAATATGGAATTTCAGGTGAAAACGTGCTCAACTTCTAAAGAATTTCTTGGTTCGTAATAAAATGAATCTCAAAAAAAGTCATAAAAACACAAATTTAGTTGACAGGCTACAATGGGATCCAGAAAAATACACAGTGAATAGAGACTTAGGTGCACTTTCATGCTGGTGATTTTTCTTTTTTAAATGTAAGCCACTAATAGTTTAACAAAAATTTAACCCAAAAGTTGCATATTAATATTGTACACAAACTGAAACATAAGTGGTTTTAGCGAAGTGTACACATGCTTACATAAACTCAACAGTTACACATTTAAAACAATTTGCATATAACACAGGAAAAGTTCTGAAATACATAAAAGCATTAATACTTTCTATAAAACTATAGTGAGAACATCAATTTGCTACAAGCATATAAAAACATCGAGTGCTTTCTCGGAGTTTCAAGTTGCCTCTTCAAACCATCACTCGAGCATATGCAGTCCTCTTCCAGTACTCACTATGGACTTTTTTGTCCTCAAGAGGTTTATTTTCCAGGTACATTATAAGCTCAAGAAAAAAGACCCAATGAATATTCAATATAATTATGTCATAACGTTAAACTTAATTGCACATTATGCTTTCAAAGTAGGTTTGGATGAAGTTCTCAAACACTTTGGTATATGTTCCTCAGGGATGACTACTACAAATAACAGAAATTCTAAGTTCCTTCAATCCCCATTTTGCATTAAAATGGACAAGTCTTTGGTTAAAGGTCCACATTTTGGGCATTTATTATCAATTAAAATGGTCCCCAAACCACGAAGTGGTGTTGATGTATCACTAGTACACAAGACTTTAACCTGTTCTGATGCAGCTGGATGCTATAATGTTCATCTACTACGTCACTGAGTTTTGGTCTTTCACTAGCAAGCAGAGAAATCAAAAGGGTTTCCATTTCTCTGCAAGTTTTCTGTTGTAATCTAAACTGTACAGTAATTTGCAGTAATTATAGTTACACAGTATGTGATTAGGACTAGAAAGCTGTAGAGCATGAAATTTAGATTTAGCTTATTCTGACAGATCAGTATTAGACTGTAGGTGAATCTGCATTAACTATATAGTAAGTTGTCAGGTAATGCTTATTTAAAAAACCCCAAACCATTCCATGTACAAGAGAAATTGTTGCAAATGTATAAAACAGCAGATATACAAGAACACCAAACATACTTTATTAGCACAAAAAAAGCAGCCGTAACAAGGCACAGCAAGCAGAAACATACATTAGCAGTCAAAGGTTAGTGTTGCATACAAATATAGCTTTTCTTTTCTGTAGCCTTGGCAATAGCCATAGGGATATAAAGAAACTCTCTGTAGCAGCTGGTCTGGAAACCAAGGAGCACTCACCAGTGGTTACAGAGCACAGTAAGAGACACACGAGAATGGATTTGGCTACTGTAGTGCAAACTGTCTAGGACAGAACTGAAAACTCAGTTCAATACTAAGAAGCAAACACTAGAACTTGATAATACTTCCCAAAGCGCTCACTCAAGTTGTATTACATACTATTCTAAGTGACGAAAAGGTGCCAAGTAAAGTTATTTACAGATATTATGGTTGTACAGTACCTTTTAAATCTGAAATTCAGGTTTCAGGTTTTTCCATTAAGAATTAACTGAAATGAAATTCTATAAATTGTACTTAAGTAATTCAGCTATGAGTTCTTACAACAAAGAGATAAATACTGCCATCCAAATGATTATTTATAGTTTAACAATCTCAACATCAGGAACCATTGGAGTTACTATCATCTGACGTGTCTGGGCATCTTCTAGTCTAATTTTCCTCACCGTTCACAAACTCATGGGCATAGGAAAAGATCCAACTTCAAAGAAATGTTTAGACTGCATGTCAACTTAGAAAAAAAAAAATCACGTGAATTACAATTGCAGCAGCTCTGCCAAATGCCTGCTTTAAGTTAAAGCACTCATTAAAAAATTAATACTGAGAGCTTTTAAATAAAATTCTACTAACTTTGTAAGTCTGTAAATTTAAGAACTATCTTAGAAAACTTGGTTTGCTTAAGAGTACATTTTTTCTGAAGAGAAAAGGAAACTACACACTGTGACACTTAAGTGCACTGCACTATGCCCTTGTGGCCAGAAAAACTGCATTTTTTTTTTTTTTTTTTTCTAAAAGGAAGGCAGTCTTTTATTTACTTATTTTGGACTTTCAAAGCTTGGCTTATGGTAACTACAAACATCACTACTTTTGGAAGGTTATAGAAAAATTCTTAGAAAAAATAATTTCAAACATTAGTCACATTGTTGAAACACTCATCCAATATTAATAATTTGTTCTTCAATAAGAAATAGACTTCTTCATAGCAAACTCCCCAGAGTTGCCCGGCACTTGCTACAGCCACTAAAAACTGAACTGTTAGCTAAACTGGCCAATGTTTTCAAGGCCTTACTGAACACCTGCAGCTCAATCCTGTTGTTGCAATAGGCACCATGTTTGTCTGAGTAGGTAACAGCAGATCGCATCAGACAGAGGCTAATAACTAAGATCACATTCTGGGTGAAAATCCCAGCACCCAACTCTACTTCCTCTGGGTGTACTGTCTGATGCACATGAAAGCAGACCTGGGGAGTGATGCCCTCTGTGGAAAGGAGTTTACTTTGCCTTGACTGGTTCTCGCTCTAACCAGCGAACTCTAACTTTTTGTTTATAATGATACTCTTTTAAAAAATCCTGTAACATTGATGGGAGAGGGAGCCCATCAATTCCATCATACGTAGTGCACCTGCAGATCACTGCGCGGCAGATATACTGTAGGCTGAAAGGAAAAGTCCTGTTCAGTGATATAGTAAGCAACGGTTCAAAAAACATGCAAGAACTGGGATCTTTATAATGCTCTAGAAGTCCAGTGACAGTGGAGGAGTGAAACACACACGGGTCGTGGGCATCGAAACTGAAGTTGTGGTTCCACTGTTCGATTCGGGCATGCAGGGATCTGTTGTAGCGCCGGAAGCTCACAGAGAAGAGGTAGTCCTCCTGTGCAGAGTCCCTGAGCAAAAATGTGCCTTCAGGCTTCCCTTCGAGAAGGGCTTCCGCTTCATAACGGTCCATCACGCCCCAGTAACAGGGGTTCCCAGTGATTTGAAGCAAGTCGGGCACAAGGCAGTGTATGTAATCGATCTGCGTATGGACTTTCCAAGCTCCCTGTCTGCTGATGTGCGCGTGGCTGTCTCCAGACACCTGGCGCTGCTTCTGCCTCCGTGACTGTAGACACAGGGTGGTTGTATCTTCTTCTGAGTCACAATTCGTTTGTGGAACTGCAGAACTGTCCCCACTTATTTCGGTCATTCCAGGGGCTAACTTTGGGCCCAGTTTATATAATGGATTAACCTGTGCAGTAGCTTCAAATGTATGTATTTGTGCATTGGGAGGGGGATCCACCCCTTCCTCGATACTAAGCCGCCTCCTCTCTCGAAGCCTATCTTCTTCATCTTCTGTAGATACCAATGATGGATCAAATGTATCAAAAAATGTTGAGTGTGGGCTCACAGGAGCCGTATGCTGTTTAATCAAATGCCATTTTTGGGCTAAATCTGAGCCAGCAGGAAAGGGGCATTTCTCCAGCATTAATTCAGAAAGATGTATTTTTCTTTTGTTGGAAAAAAGGGGCTTTGACTGCTTGCTGTATGTTCTCACCGGGAAACACAAGCCCACTGTGTCCTGCAGCCTCTGCCTCAGAGAGCGGCTCCCGACGGTCCTGCTGGATACGCTGTCCATGTCGTGCACAGAGCTGACTCCATAGCGCCGTTCTCGTCTCTGAAGTCCACTTCGAGTTCGACCAAACTTTTTCTCAGTATCCAGTGAACTTTGGGTCTTTGTGGAACAGGAATGTTTCTTCTTCCCTCCCCAAGGGGCATGTCGAGAATAGGAATCTCTCCGTCCAAGCCTTGCACCTGGGGCGATACCCGAGTCACTGTCCTTCTCAATGCTTATTTCAACAATCTGAGGGATTTCAGTGGCACAATTTTGGTTTCTTCTTGAAAAACTCTTTGAAGGGCTGAGTCCCAGGTGTAAGGCAACATTTTCTCTTAAGGGACTACTCTGTTGCTGAGGAGAGGACTCTCCCAGACTGATGCTTTTCTCTTTGACAGACAAACATCTGTTGGAGTTCATGTCCACATTGTCACTGTGGTTTCCTCCCTCATGACTGAAGAGATTCTGGCACCTGTATTTGAAGTTATTCCACATTTTCCCCACTTTATCCATTGATTATAAGATCTAAAAAAAAAAAAAAAAAAAAAAAAAAAAAAAAAAAAGGAAAAAAAAAAAAAAAAAAAAAAAAAAAAAAAAAAGGAAAGCAGAAAAAGGAGAAAAACAAATTAATCAGAGTGGGAGGTGATGCTGGGGAAGACAGTTAAGTCTCTTCCCTTCCCAGAAGGAGATCCAACAGCAAAGACCTGGATGCAACTGACACTGCACAAGGGGCACACACCTGGGAGGCACACAACGGGGAAGGGAAGCTGGGAGTCCTCCAGTGCTACTAGTATGGCAGTTCTTACTTCCTATTTCCTTTCAGAAAGAACACAGAGAAGTTAACTGAAAGGAAATAAGCCATTTCAAATTCTGGTTTCTTTTTCCTAAGCAATACCAAATTTCATTATCACACTGATTCAGTAATTGAAATACTGCCTCAAGTATTTAAAAAGAAAACTACGTTATACACTATATTCAACTTTTTAAAAGCTATAATAATTAGGATTGGCAAGATGGATCAGTGGGTAAAGGTGCTTGTGCTAAGACTGATGACCTGAGTTTGATACCTGGGACCCACACTGTGAAAGGAAAGCACTGACTTCTGCAAGTCTCTGACCTCCAAACTAATGTTATGGGGCATAGGCATGGGTTCTCTCTCTCTCTCAATTTTAAAATATTAAAGAATTAAAGTTCTAATAATCAAGCCACTTTTGTGTAATCATTTAAACTTAGTTCAAAACTGTAAATAGTAACCTCCCCACTGTATCACTTACCAACTCCTTCCTCAACGTTCTAAAAGTAATAGGTTATCACTTAAAGCCTTCTTTCCCCTCCCTCAACAAATTTGATTCAGGATTCTGCAGAGGGAGTTTGAATTGAAGGAGCAATAGCAGGAGAGCATAATGCCTTAGGTTTAAAGGCAAGGGTGTCTTTAAGCTTCCCTATTGCCAATGTTTGAAAGTAAAAATGTGATACTGTAGTAATTAGCAAAACAAAGGCAGAAAGTGGGATCTTCTATCTTTATTCTTGTTCCCTAAAAAAAATCTAGAGCTGTTTACAGCACAAAAAAGCACTTTAAAGACTACAATAGGCACTATCTCACTTAGTAGTGAGAAAGCTGTCAGAAGAAATGCAGAAACGTAAACCTGAAATTCAGTTGTTTGTTGTACTACAGCAGAGAACTTTTACTAAAAGGTATCTGTTTTGTCATTTAATAAACACAGCACTTTAAAATTTTTCCAGCTTTATCCCCTGGCTAAGCACCATTCTTCACAATTCAGCATGAGCTGGAGACCGACTTTAGTATGTTTTGTTACCAATGCTGATGTGTCCATAATGTTCTCTTTATCATAAATGTTAAAAATTATTATTATTGTGTGTATAATATGGATCATGTTTGTGGATGGCACATATGTGTCACTGCACATGTATAGAAATCAAGAGGAAGGCTTTGGGGAGTCAGTTTCATCATGGGTTCTGAGGATTGAACTCAGGTTGTCAGATGTGTGACAAGCACCTGTATCTGCTGAGCCATCTTGCCAGCACAATACTTGTATTTTTTTAGAGCTAAAACAATAGAATACTCATTTCTTAAAATGAATTATATATCTTCTGTTAATTTCTTATAAAACAGGTTCCTGGACTAACAATGCTCTTCATCTAATGATGGTGCCAATGTAGAACACGCACATCTGATGGAAAGGTACTTTCAAATGACAATCTTTATTAGAAGCACATGTTCAGTCTATAGGACGTTCACATGAAAGTGAGTATATGTTTTAGTAAAATCTACTAGACAGAATTCATAAACTCCAAGGCACACCAGTTGGGCTTCATGAGTCTTGTTATCACTCAATCTTCTTGTTAAATTAAGATTTCAGTTCTCTGCTCACAAGTCTTGTTACCTACTGCCTAATTCTAGTCACATTCTTGGGAGTTCTATTATCCTTGTAGATTTACTCTTCCAATATCTCAGCCCCCTTTCCAGCCTAGTTTCTTCTCATTTCTTTAAGAATTTAAAAAGCTCTCTCTGATTCATATTTATAGTTTTAAGTTCAAATTCTGTTAGAAGGCTTATTTTCTGTTTGTTTAGAGACAGGGTCTCTCTCTCTGTAGCCCATGCTGGCCTTGAACTTGTGGCAATCCTCCTGTTTCAGAGCATTAGGACTATAGGCACAAACACCCTGCTCTAAAAGGCTTTTAACTAAGAAACAGCACCATTAGCCATACCCTTCCATCTTTGATGCTCCTTCCCAGGGATTCAAGAACATTACTTTAAATTCTTAACCATTTCTGTTGGTACTTTTTCTTGCTATTTCTAGATAGGATGTTCATACTACTCATTGGTCTTTGAATTTTAGACATTATCTGCTAGCTTCGTAATATGAAGATAATGGTTTTCAATGTTTTAGACCTTCCTCCACAAAACAGATAAAATGTATTTCCTGGTTAAAGCAGCATCTGTTCTTTTCACTCTAACCATGTGAATACTGTCCCCTGAGGTAAGCCATTTCCCTTTCTTATACAATCATGTTTTTCCTACAGTTGTCTTTTTTGTTAACTTGGTTTTCTCAGGAATCTGTTGCACTTTCCTCAAATGCTTTCAAAAGAACTGCAGAATGACTCAATAAAGACCAACAATGCCTACCCAATCCTACAACTTCCCTTTACATTATTCTAGCAATTTCTTTTTCTTGTTATGAAAATGTTCTATTTCATCCTTGTTTTTATTCTTTCAGAAAAGAAAAATTCCTGAGTTAGAAATAATTTATCCTGACAAGTTTGAGGGCATCACCCCACTATTTTCTAGCTTCAAGTATATCTGCTGAAAACTCTTAATACCATACCAATTTCCAGTCTTCTGTATGTGACCTATGTTTATTTTCTGAAGAAAGAAATAAAATAATTGCTTCTCTCCCCAGTCAGGCCTTTCTCCATTCAGTGCTATGCCCTGCTGATGCCCTCTGCCCTCCTACTTTCGTTTTCAACAGACACTAAATCCCCTTGAATTTGCTGCCTTCTTTTAATTTCCCATTTCGTTTCCTTTTATACGGACAGACTAAGCTTCAGTTTCCAATACTTCTATTGTAAGAATAATTTTTCCTATCAGTTTTTAATTTCTAAGACCATTTTATTTGCTCAATGCACAATTCTTTAAAAGCAACAAACTTTATAGCTTCTCAGATGTAAAAACTCATTTCACTGCAGACATAAACTTTTTTTTTTTTTTTGAGACAGGGTCTTATGTAGCCCAAAGCTGGCCTCAAACTCACTATGTAGCTGAGGATGATCTCAAATATCACGCAGATCCTCTTGCTACCATGTCCCAAGTGCTGGCATTACAGACACTCACTACAGTGCTTAGTTTGTGTGATGCTAGAGATGGAACTCAAGGCTTCCTGCATCCCATGCAAGCATTCTACCAACTGAGCTACTTCTCCAGGCCTAGAATATACAAATTTTTAAATTATTTTCTTCCCTTTTAAAAATATTTTTTGTTTTGGGATTGGAGAGACTGCTCAGTGGTTAAGAGCACTGGCTGCTCTTGCAGAGGACCCAAGGTTCAATTCCCAGCACACACATGGTGGTTAACAACGGTTGGCAACTACATTTCTAGGGGATCTGATGACCTCTTCTGACACACACAATAAAATATAAAAAAATATTTTGAGACAGGGTTTCCCTGTAGCCCCAGCTGGCCTAGAACTTGATACGTAGACTAGAGCAACCTTCATCTCACAGAGATCTGCCTGTCTCTGCCTCTGGAGTGCTGGGATTAAAGGCAGAGGCCCACTATGGCCAGGTGTTTTCTTCCTTTTTAAAGGTTTTAAACTATATTTGTTCTCAGCACCTTTTCAGCCTTCATCTCTAGAGCTCTGTTTTGCATTCAGACAGGAGCTCATGCTTCCCAGCAGGAGAAGCTCTATCTACAAGGCTTGGTTTGGAAACCAGTGGGCTTCACTTCGAGGTGAGAAAGCAGTGAGTTGTTTTTTTCTATGAAGGGATCCCTGAAGTCTGTCTCTGTAAGCTTCCTTCTGGTGTCAATTATCCCAGCGAGAAATGCTCCAGTCTTCTGCCTGTTACACATGCTCTACTGCCATGCTGAGGAAAACAGAATTGGGAACATCAAATTTTACCCTCAATATTCAGACTTTCACTTAGTCCTTACTTTTCAAAGGCATTTGTCTTTATTTTCAGAAGATAGCCCAATGTCAGCTATGAGTGAATCTCTCATTAAAATCTCTCCAAGCTCTAAACCTTTGGTTTTATCCAAAGTAGAGGACCCCTGACTGCTCAGAGTGAAGGAAGGCAACAGGGAGAAGCTGATACGCTGCCATCTTCAGCTACTGCTGCCCTTACTTTTGAGGGAACTGGCACCAGCACGGGCCGGGCTTTGAGCAGCTCTAGCCTAGAGCTGTGCTGTTGATTTATGTAGCCACTGATCTGAGTATTATGGCTGTGCCACAGACTGAACGTTAACAGTTTGAATACAATTGGTGACACAGTTAAAATTAACCATACCCCCTTTCTACCTTTTAAATATGGCTATCAAAATCTTTAAGTTAGGGTTATAGTTCAGATTTTTATTTCTACTGAGTAGGACAGCAGAGGTTCAGAGGTGGAGACATGCTAAAAGATGCTAAATCTGATCCATGACCAGCTTCTGTAAGGACTGGAACTAAGTATGTTTTTTTCATTTTAAAAGGGTTTTTTAAAAACCAGAACAGGTTTGGCATGGTGGTATATATGCCTTTAACCAACATCACTTTGGAGGAAGAAACAGGCAGATCCCTATGAGTTTGACGCCAGCCTGGTCTACACTGTGAGTTGAGATTCTGTCTCAAAAAAACCAAAACAAAAATGGATCAACCAACCAACAAAAAACCCAAGTCAACAAACACAAAAGACCACACAGAACATTTGACTGAAATTATGAAATCTGAAAAACCAAAAATATTTTCTTTTTGGACCTTTTCAGAAAGTTGACTGACCCTCCTTAGTTTCTAGAGCAGTCAAGATAATAA